ATATAAAATTTAAATTGATGATAACAAATGTAATAAAGCTTTAATTAGAACAATAAGAATCAGTAAAAATACTGTTAATAAAATAAAAACGTATCATGTACCAAACATTATTCTATGGTATTAGTAAGATAAAATTTTTGAATAAAGTCTATTTACTATTGTGAATAAGTATCTCACTCTTGTTACATTTCAACTACTCTCGACTTCCAACTTTACAAAACTTGTTTCATATTTCTAATCTTGTTTAGTGTACATATGTTTTAAAAGTAAATAATAAACTGCATGCAATAAAGAAATGTAAATAAAATGTATTAATAAAACATGAACTATTTAGAAATACCATAAGCATTCATAATATAAATGTTACACTAAATTTATTTATGGGCAGTTATAATAAACTCAGACAGTATCAGTGTATTAATATAATAGAAAGGTATTGAAATTTAAAATTGTTTTGCCCAATATTTATGTTGTTATATTTTACAGTGTTTCACCACTGGCATATAGCACTTAAAATATCTGATATAATAAAAAAAACTTTAAAACCAGATTACTTTAATTACCTGATATAAATTATTACCTAATTTCCATTCTTAATGAGTGTATATAATTTAATGTCATTGAGAAAATCTTTTACAAGTGGCACTGGTCCACTAGTTTTCAAAATGTGACTATGGTATAAATTTTATTTTTAGAACCATTAATTGGAGATCAAATCTCAGAACGATAAACCATACTGGTGCAAATCTGTAAACAGGAACCAGATCCTGCAATAAGATAGAAAAATATTCATAGGATCAAGGCATGATCACCACAATTAAATAAACTGAAATATTCTCTTCAGGGCTTTATACAGGAGCCAAGGGTCTCCAGGGATAATTTTTTTCAATCAAATATTAAATTTATCATTGAACTTCCTCATTAGTAATGAATGTAAAAAAATATTTTTTGAAGATATTACATAATGATTATATAATATACATAATATTATCTATTTTTATTTTAATATAAGTTTAAATAAGTAAACTGTGGTTTCATAGTGAACATATCACCATAACCCAGTCAAATTAACACAAAAAATAAGTATAGCTGGCAAAAGGTCGGATAATTCAACTTTCTTTTTTATAATGTTAGGTACGTAGTTAATATAAAAAATCCAAGTTTCTGCCCTTGAATGCCTTGTGGGTTCGCTGAAGTGCTCCAAAAGCCATTGAAATTACGAACGCTTTTTCGTTCACGCTAAATATCTCCTTTTTAAAACAAGATAAATAAAAAATTATTATATTTAATTAAATATATGTATTAAAATTTGTAGGTTAGGACTTCACATTAATGGTAATTAATAGTAATAGCAGTAATAAAACTATATATTTGATCATTATAATCCTATTTTATTTGATTTTTTTATATCAATGTTACAGTCCTTAGGCCATTATTAAGGAAATAAATCTATTTTAATAATTAAAAATCTTTATTGACTGAATTTCTCTGGCCAACTCCAGACTAGTTAGTTTGACTAGTTAAATGACACCACTTACCTCGATGTGTGAAGTGTGGACAGCAACACAGGTCTGAGGAATGCACCAAGTCTAGCAAACACCAGCAGTGTGCGCACTATGCCATCTAAACCACTCAGCAAACTACAAGGGATGCCAAACTTATAAAATCTTGAAACCAAGAACACAGACAGGAAGAGACCTCAAGGACTCCCAGACCATCAAGTTAACCCACAAGATGTGTGAAAAATGAAATGTCCTATGCTGAAATGCTAAGAGAGATGGAACAATCAACCTCAGGCTCTGCCGCAAACTCAACAACAACCTCTTGATCCACCACTCCAACATAAGATTACCCAAAAGTCCAGTCCTCACCAAATCACCTACATTCCTCCCCCTAACAATTCCAATGACCTCAAAAGCCTCCTTACATCATTCCTCTCCGAGATCAAATCCCTCATCACCCCGCTCACCTCCCTACTTGCAAATGTCATAGCTAATCTTATCCCACCATCAAGAATTCCTTAAATGTCCTCAACAAAACCTCTTTCCATTCTCCTCTGGAATGCAAATAGTGTTTGAAACCACATCAACAAACTAACTTTTTTTCAGAACCTAATCCATCATCCTAATCTTTTAGTACAATCCTTATCCAGTTCCAGTCATCCCTACAATCCTTTTCGAAGGCTGAAATGGCAATGGCCTCGAGATCTTTTGTGAATACGTCACTGGAGTCCTGGCAATGACCAGCTTCTCCACTTAAGTCATGAGGGTTTTAGTGCTCTCTCCCAGTCTCCGCTGGATACCAATCTCAGTGAAGCGGCTGAGAGAGCAGGACTGGGATTTCTTAAAGTCTTGCCTTGTTCTCCACACGTAGGGGAAAGGGCCCGGCCTGGAGCTCCCTTGGCTGACTGTAAGTTTTGTAAATAAGTATGAATGTGCTTTTATTTAATGTTGCCTCATGTTTCATTTATTATGTTATAATTTTTCTATTGTTTTTTTAATTTTATATATGGTATGAATGAATCAGATACATCTTAAATATTCAATTCTCTTAATTGAGGCAAAATGTATTTTTTTCTCAATAAAAATAATATTTAAAAAAAAAGTCAAATGGAGTTGACAAGGGCAATTTAGTCCATAATGAATTTTAATGATTAAAATAGATTTATTCCCTTGATAATGGACTAAGGACTGAAACGTTGATGTAAAAAACAAATAAAGTGATCAAATATGTAGTTTTATTATTATTGTTATATTTAATCTTAAACAGCTTAAAAGTATTTAACATTTTTGTAAATAATATGTTTTCTAAACCCAACAGTAAGCGGACTATCGAGCTTTCAAAATGGGTAAAGTTTTGAAAATTCACAGAAAAACATGTATCATTTTTTGTTTTTAACTAGTTCTCTGTTTTTATAGGTGACTTGGCTCAAATTTTTAAATTAAATATTAAAGTACACACAATTTACAATAAATTTTATAGGAAACATATTTTTCTAAACTTAACAACTTAAATACAAATTGTTAAAAAGAAATTGATGTTTTGAAATCCCAAAAAATACTTATAATTTTATTTTTAATGTTTGCCATTTATTTCAATGAAATTGGTAATCAACAATTACTCTTGTTACTTTTAATACCACACTTATTCCAATTTATGCCATATCATTCAGCATTCATAGGAAGTAAAAAAAAAAATTAATTAAATTATTTTTAATATTTATTCGTAATGTACTAAAAGCGTTATTATATTATTATACCATTTATGAGTACTGAACGATGTGACAGAGAACTCTAGGGGCCAGTGCCGCTTTTCCGCCGATTAAGTGTATTTTATAAGTAACTGCTTCAAATATTTTAAAAAATAGTCAGTTCTTTAGAAAGAGAAATGTATTCTCCAGATATTTTATTTTGGGACATTTTATGTTATTGTTGGCTGTTCATTTACAAACGACGCTTGATTTTCAACTTTAATTTGAACTTGAAATAATTGAATTTACTGGTGCTTATTATTGCCAAGGCCAATTTTATCACAATTTTTTTTTTCATGTTTTATTATTCTCTAACTATCTATCTTTAATAAAAGGTCAATTATGACGAAATTAAGCCAAATGCTGAATCTCAAAAACCGAAAAATTAACTCAAGTCAGAGATGTCAATCCGCCATTTTGGGACTGTGCGGTCACGTTTTTTTTGTTGTTTTTTTTAGTAAATAGTTAAAAGGAACACAACTATATGTATTTTTTGGGATGTTGGGGGAGGGTGCACGGTAGTGGGGCCTGACCCATCCTGTAACATACTTTTCAAAACAACCCCCGACCACCGTCAACCATTCCAATCAATGCACTAGCGGATCCAGAATTTAATTTTGGGGGGGCTTCAGCTTGAAACCTCTTTTTTTCATAAAAATAACGATAACTACTTTGGAAAAACAGAAAGAAACTAACTACCTATATGAAATGGTGTTTAAGTTATTCCTTAAGTACTTTTAAATGTAGTTACACGAACAATAATACTTTATTAAGAGGTATTTTTTAAATTTTTTCCCATAAAACATGGTTATATTTTTTCATTTTGGGGGGGGGGCTTCAGCCCGAAAGCCCCCCCCCCGTGAATCAATGGCTCATTATCTTCAAGAAAATCTCTAATTTTTCTGGCCGAGGTTCAAAATGGAGGTCCAGAATCTTTCCATACAAAACCGAGAGAGCACCAAGAAATCGAAATGGATAAATTTTAAAAGATCGATAGTTCGCTTCCTGTTGAGTTAAAAAAAATAGATAATTGTAAACTGTTTTAAATTGAATATAACCTTTTTTTTTAATCTATGTCACTCTAAAAACTAAATAATTAACATAAACTAAAAAAAGTTCGAAATTTCAATAGTTTTTGGAGCACTGCAGCTAACCCACAAGGCTTCCAAGGGCGGAAACCTTACTACGTACCAAACAATATAAAAAAGAAATTTAAATTACATGATATCTTGCAAAGTAACATGTCTAATTTGACTGAGCCACTAGCGGATCCAGGATTTATTTTTTGGGGGAGGCTTCAGCCCGAAAGTTGTTTTTTTCATAAAAATAACAATAATTACTTTGGAAAAAAAGAAAGAAACTAACTACCTATATGAAATGGTGTTTAAGTGATTCCTAAAGCCCTTTTAAATGTAATTACACGAACAATAATACTTTAAGAGATACTTTTTTAATATTGTTTTCGATAAAACATTGTTATATTTTACCATTTTGGGGGGGGGGGCTTCAGCCCGAAAGCCCCTCCCTCCCCGTAGATCCGCCCGTGGACTGAGCTACCATGGAGCTGTTGTATATCTATTGCCATCACCAGCTCCTAGCACCAAGAGGAAACAAAATCACTGTTGTGACAAATTGCTGTGATTTGTTAGTGATTTCCTAGGATCTGTCATAGTCGAAGCTGTGATGGCAAACCCCATCACTTCCCTTCAACATAAATATGCTGGAGAAGTTAAGGGACCTCTGTCTTTAGGTCACTGAATTACAGCAGCAGCGAGGTTGGCTCACATGCACCAACAATAGCGTCAACGTTCCAGAAGCAAGTCGAAGTCAGTCACCGGACTGTTATTACCACAAGCGATTTAAGGAGGTCTTTAAACAAGTATGGCCGACGGACCAAGCGGCAGCCGTTGCAGCCCATCCTCAAAGCCGCCTATTTGTATCAGATAAGAGAACGAAGCTAATCGATACTGGTGCAGCTATCTCTGTCTTTCCTCGACCTCGGAACTTCAAAAGTAAAGCTATGTAATATATTTAGTAAAGACAAACAACAGCGCTATTAAAACTTATGGGGAAATGAAACTTTACCTAAATTTTGGACAGATGGACTTTCATTTTCGCGAACCTTGATAGGCCAATATCTGGGCAGACTTCTATAAGCACCATTTGGTTGTTAATCAACATAATGGAAAATTATTTAATCAGAAAACTGTGATATGTTATAGAGGATGCATTTCGATCGTTTCTTTACCATCTCTACTATACCAGGGGACTGCCCATAAAGTAGAAGGCATATGCAGACTATGTAACCCTGTTCAAGCCAGCTACACATCGTCGTAAAGAAGAATGGACAAATTCGTATACGTTGTGTGGGCGGGGGTGGCCGAATGGCCAACGCGTGTGCACTGCAACCTTGCTCAGCAACCTGGACAAAAATGTTATAAAAATAGTCACGAGTTCACGTCCCGTTGCCAAGGCGTATTTTAAATCCCCGCCCACACCCCCTGGCCCGGGAAACCCCGTATAGCATAGCCTTAACGAACCCCAAGAGGAGGACCCCAAAAAAAAAATATTGTATACGTGTTGATTACAAGCGACTAAACTAGCAAAATATTCCAGATAGATACGCGGCACCGAACGTTACGAAGTTCACTCACAACACGGCTTGACGAAAAGATTTTCAGCACCCTCGATGTCGTGCGAGCCTGTCACCACATTCCAAACTCCACTCGGACTGTGCTAGAACACTAAAATAACTTTCGAAATTAGGAACGCAGCGCAGACATTTCAAAAGTTCATGGCACGATACTTCGACATTTAAATTTCATCTTTCCTTTCCTAGACGATCCCCTGATAACTTCCAAACATGAGTAGGAACAGAATATGAATTTTGGGGAAGAAAAGTTTCAATCCAGATGACAAGGGAAAAAGCATGAACAAGACTACAGCAAGTTTAATTGTAAATGATCAATGATCTAACATTTTTCCAATTCTTTTGCTTGCACGTTTTAAAGAAGAGATGATTAATAAAATTTCTTGGAAGGGCGGTAGATTCATGCGCCATCGACCTTGGAATGAGGGATGGTTATCCCTTATCATCCCCGCCCTTTAATCTAGGGATGGAATTTCAAGATCATTACTGACCATAGGCTGTTGACTCACATAATCTTTCTAAAAGGCAGAGACCGCTTCTCTCTACAGAATCAGACAATTGAAATTCCTCAATCAATTCAGCACTGAAATACTTAACCTGTCTGGAAAGGACAAGAAAATTGCAAATACATTGTCATGATTAGAGGAAATTCAAGTGCCAGATGACCTACGCCAAATTCCAGAAGTCGGATTCAATTTGTCAACACTTTAAATTTAACCGAACCTCTGTCTTCAGCTAATAAACATTCCCGGCATTGAAATTCCATTGCTCTGCGAGATGTTCACTTCCAGGGCTAGACCCTATGTACAACCCAATTTCAGAAAACAGATTTTCCAGCACTTGCATGGATTCATCTATCTCGGAATCAGAGCCACCAAAAAGCTCATCACTACTTTAGGCCATCAATGGATCAAGATGTAGCTCAATGGGCAAAAATCTGCATCCCTTCTCAGTGTTCTAAGATCATCCGGCATGGTCAGGCAACTCTCAGGACTTTCGAACAACTTGGAAGATTTCAATAGACCTACATTGATATCATGGAACCCTTGCCACCATCCGGTAGCAAACGCAGCTTGGCTTACAATGATAGACAGAACTACTCCTTGCCGAAATGACAGCAGAGGCTTTCTACTCTAATTGGATATCTCGATTCAGAATGGCAGTTAGAGTAACAACTAATCAAGGTCAACAATTCGAAACTCTGGTTTTCCAGACTCACTGTGCTCCTCGGCATTGACAAAAAGATAACTACCGTGTACAACCCACAGGCTAATGGATGCACAGAAAGGTGCCATCTCAGCATGAAGGCACATTTGGACATGGACCACTGGACTCTCCCAATAATTCTGATAGATCTATGCTCCACCTTCAGTGAAGACATAGGAGCTAGTGTAGCTGAATCAACCCGTGTGGCCAGTTTTTCAGACTATCTGGGGAATTATTTCAGGAATCTACTCCATGTGCAGAACCTAGCATAGCCTTACAGCAGCTTAAGGAAGACTAAAATTGGACCTGTAAAATTCCGAGCCAACGTAAGCAGGAAATCATTCTTAAGATAACAACTCATGTGTTTCTGCGAGTCAGCTCCTTTAAATACGATACTCAGTTCATCTTCAAGTGCTGCACCTAAAGCGTATACAGACTGTTGTCAAACATTTGATGTCCTTGAAAAATGAATATTCTTGGACCCTTTAAATAATATAAGTACAGCGCATATGCTGAACAAGTACATTCTCCTTAAAATGGCGAACAGCTAACCCTCACAATAAAGAACTATTCCTCCATCCTTCATTGTGATCAGAGAAAATAATATTTTTTTTCTATCAACACATTAAAGTCGGGAGTCATAGTACTACGATTTATCTTGACTAGCATACTTTCGTTAAATTCCTCTGTCTTTAATGTGTTAAGAGAGTTGAAAATTTGAGCATTATCAAACAAGATTGAAATAAGTAATTACTTATTTTAATTTATTCTTTATTAGGGAAACATATAACAAGCAGCATCAGTATGTAATTTTATAGGATGTATTTTCAAACAGAGGGGTGGTCAAATATTGCAGTTTAGTGGGAATTGTAAAAAGGTGAGAATGATAAGATCTAATCTAATGTCATTAGATAATGAATAATTGATACCTTTATCACCAGAAAAAATATGACATCAGCACTTCAATATCAATTTCAATATAATCTTTTATAGTAGGTCTGATAGAAATAAAAAGACATGTTATTCCTCAAATGCAATTTATAATAACATTTCATGCTAATTCTCTTGAGTCATAAACTAAATTGATGAATATCTCTTGTAACAAAAAGAAACACTCCTCATATTTCGATTTGAATTTAGTTAAAAAGGTTATAGATTTTATACAATTTTAAGCTATAACATACCATTTCTGACTAAATGATATAGATAAGAGCCTGGTATCCTACAATAAACATGAAAACAATTTGAAATTTTATTAGTTTTCACACAAATTCTTTCTTTAACAATTAAAAACTTAATATGCTTGAGAGGTAACAAGCCTATAACAAACAAGTTATTTTAGATTATTTATAGCATTTATAATTCAAACGAAAGTTTATATCATGCATCACAGGACACAAAAGCAATGTTGTATATTTTTTAACTTGAAAATAAATACAAAAACCAGATAACTTAGTCTTCTTATCAAAATTGATGTTTAATAAAAATATTAACTTAATTTTAGATCGTTTATGATAGTTTTTTTTAATCTAAAGTAGAAAAGAGGATTTAAATATAATTCGTAATAACCATCATGAATATAATAATACTAAAGCATTTAAATGAGATAAAAAAAAAATTTGAATAAGGATTCTTTTCGTGTATTATGCTAAAAAAAAAAGTCTGGTGTGTGTATCACACAAATATCACTTACCACTAAATTTTGAATAGAAATTATTTTCTGTCCAACTGATCTATCGCAGAAAGGTATTGAAGTGGACTTTTAATTATGCAATACTTTAAAAATTCATTTGTGAATTTTAATCAAACTTAACAATGCAAAAAACACACTAAGTGTATCAAATAAATGACTTTTTGTAATAAACCAATTTATGATTATTGAAATCTATAATGGGGTTTTTAGAATTATTGAACTAAATTCTAGTTATAACTATTTTTTCCTTCTTAAATATGGCTTCAATGAAATATTTTAAACAATATATACTTTGATATATCTTCTCTAACAAAAGTACAATAAAACAGTTCTTACAATTATTATAGGGCCTTGATTTGATGTATTATACATATTTGTTTGTCAAACTTAAATTAATATTAAAAATTTGAATGGGAAGTCTAGTTAATGTAGTTTCAATGGAAACATTTTCAATTTAATAATATAAAAGTATGTTATTAGCTACAACGTAACTTTCTTCGACACCTCGTCAGTTTTTTGTTACTCTTCCTTAACATCTATGTCTTTATATAATAGATATTATTTTTCCTAAAATTCACAGTTTTCCAACTATATATTATAAATATATGTTTTATGTTATTGACACTTATTATGGAAAATTTGTTTTCAAGCTGAGAAAAAATGTTTCCTTTCTTTCTTCTGCTTTAGTTGTCTATTAATTATCAAATTCGTTTATATTGAGCCATTATTTACTATTAGTAGAAGGCAATTAATTATCTAAAATAAATCAAACTATTTATACCTAAAAACGATTTTAAAATTTGATGTTTGAGGCCTGCCACCCTATTAAAATGAGGATATGACCCACATGATAGTATAGGCTATTATTGAGGCTAGAATACTAATAAAAAGAGTTTAATCAAAATCATTAGATCTCAGATTTTTAAAAATGTGTATAATCAATGAGATTAAGTGGCACTTCCTGTCCTTGTCAATTTTGGCAAAAAAAAACTGTAACATATCAGGCATATGCATATCTAAAATACTTAATTTCAGTGTCGTACAACTTTAAATATTTAAGCTAGGCTGTTCACAGACCTTGACCATTTTGAGAGACTTAGTTATTTAAAATCAGAGGAAAATCTAAACATATATACTTCTGGTGATAACTAGGACTTGAAATTTTTCATAAACACATTGCTTTCCCTTACTATATATGTCATAGTAAACAAAAGAAAGAAAAAAACTTAACTGGTAACCTTTTGTTTGAAATGAGATAGCATAAATTAAGAAAAAAAATTGATCTATGGAAATTATTTTCAATTGAAAATTCCAACAAGAAAAATTAAAATTTTCATAACAATCTCATAGTTCTAATCCACTAGACTATAATAGAAAAACTAACTATTACCTAAATAAATCTCTATAAAAAAAAAATATACACTTATATTGAACAAATCAACAACTAGACAAACTATAAACATTTCAAATAAATAAGCAAAAATTGATCACCATCAATAGTTAATTGAAGTTAGTTTACTGATAGATATTAATAAACATCTTGAAGCATTTAAATTTACAATAAAAATTACAAATACGTGTTATAAGCTAATAATGAGCAAAGTTTAAAAATAGCCATAGAAAAAATAAACATTTGCTTACAAATAAATAAAAAGAGGAAACTATCTGCTTTAAAAAAAAATTCAAGTTAAATAAAACATGGCTCTCCGTTAAAATTAAAGAAAAATTCAGCAGTCTTTCGAGACTAATAAAAATTAACACATGTACATATAATTACACACTTATAAAACATATATATACATACAAAATATAATTATTCCAGAGATAGAACTCTTGGTAGTACTTATTTTAGAAACAGACTAATCAAAACTAAGAGTAGTGTGTATAGAGCTCTTGTAACACATTCAAAGCAAGAAACTTTAAAAGTTAAGAACTTAAAACAAAGAACCCAATAAAAATATTTTGATTAGTTGTGTTATATCACACGAGGGCAGAAAACAATTCCACTGGCCTCAGGTCATCAACGAGGATTCCAATAACCAGCTTACAAGACAACTACTTTGTAACAATTGTTACTGTATTGTACAATTATTGTTTTTCTGAGTCAGTCCAGCTCTGCTGAGGTCCCTTTCAATCTTGTCATCATCTTCAATGCTGTCAATACAAAATTGATTTTAGATTTAAATTATTCATTTGATAGGTTCATAAAATTCTAAATACCTTTAAGAAATATAAAATACCATTCCAAATTATCAGAAAATATCTGATAATAAAAAAAAACTATGTAACTGAAATTAACTTAAAACACATTTATGATAAAGTTCTGAAACACCAAACCGATTTACATTACTTTTCATAGAAACTTAGGTTAGATATGTTTACCAAAAAGATTAAGTGTAACTTTTACTGATATTTGGCATCTATTTCTTTATCGTCGATTGTGTAATAATCAGTTTATTTAAATAAAGCACATTTTGCAGACATTATGCCTTTCAAAGGAATACGGCTGTTCCATTTTTTATTTCTAAATTTAACTCTTGACCAGTCATATTTAATGGTAGTAATGCACAGAGCCCTTATCTCCTCAATCTCTCAGCTTAGATATTCTATATTCTACCAGTTTTTATGGTTCTTTGTGTTTGTAGAGACTTGTCAGAAAAATTCTGACAAACGGAGATAAGGGCAGGATGATGCCCTCCTGTGCTGCTTAATTCAATATTGCATTGGAAAAGATCATGAGAGAGCCTGCCATACAGGTTGGAGAAACAATATTCAGTCGGAGTATGCAACTATTGGCGTGTGTGGCCGATGTCAATGGTCACTCTCAACAGATTAGGAAAGTATTTCTAGCACTAGTGGGATCTGCAAGAAAATTTGGGCTTGAGAGATGATCTCAAAACTACCTGGCCTGCAAGCACCTCTATAAAAGTTTGTTTGATTATATGGTGAAATTTTAAAAACTATTTAATAAAATATGAAATTTATTAAATCAATCACACAGAAAGTTACTACAATATTTATTGCATGCATTGTTTATCTTAGAAAGCCCATTTCACAACACAATGCTCAATGCGGCTCACGGTATTTAGTGGAGGTCACAATATGACTCATAAGCCGAAAGGTTGGAGACACCTGTTCTAAAGGTATAACCAAATAAATTCTAACCAGAGTGGGAAGGACGAGGATCCAATCCATGGGTCTGCCACAAAATACGAGAATATTGACTCCTGCAGCATTTACCTTTGTTAACAAAGAGTCGACAACCAAAGATCACTGGAGTGAGAACAGAGCTTTCCTCTGTGGACAAATTTCAATAGGTTTAAACCACAGTTCAGTATGCCCCAATTCAGATTTAAGTATTCTCTCTTTAGTTAATCCATCTGAAATCTAAAGAACTGATTCCTTTCCTTTCTAGGGCATTGTATTCTTCTTAACATTCTTTTTCAAAATACTAGTGATCACTTCTCGGATTCAATTACACTTCCTGCAGATTATGCTTATATTATTTAAATATCTCATTATAATCATCTTGTGGCAGATGGCCTACTCTACTCTTAAGTGACATTGAGTGAGGGAATGATGATAAATTGAATAGGGATGGATTGAGTGCACAATGAATTAGACTCAATTGTGCAATAAAAAAGATGTGAGTAAATTGTTAAATGTGCATGTAGACAATTGGTGACCAAAGCACAAAGAAATGAAGAAGCTTGGAACAATGTCCAGCAAGGGGGAAGTGCTGGAGAAGTACGCTGACGAGGATGAGAAGAGAAATGGTGAGGTTACTTGAGGTTGGTATATAAGCAAGAAAGGTCATGACGGTGTGAGAGAAGCCCACTCTACTGGAACATTAAGAAGAGGAAGGTCAAGTCTACTAGATGTTATAGGACTTCATTCATAATATATATATATATAAATATAATATATTTCTTATAGACAACTGAAGATCAACAAATCCAGTCGAGTCATCGGGTCCAATTCATTTTTTTTTTTGGTCCTCCCTCCCCTTTTAAGCTCTACGGGGTTTTCTCGGGCCAGGGTAGGCTATTAATGCCAGAGTTAAAAGCCCCCTACTCTCCTGGATACCAGGACACAAACTCGTAATTATTTTATCTAATTATTACCACCCCTGAGGGTATTAAATTGTTATTTTAAGTGTATTCACCCATTCTAATATTTCATAACTACTTATTAGTCTTGCCACAGAATATCACTTAAGAAGTGATTTTCCGAAGTCCCAACTGCAGTAGAACCCTTTCAAAAGTTTATGCAGAGCTGGAGTTCAATTTTAAAATTAACTTTAACTTACAGGTATTGAGTTCTACCAATGGGTAGTTTCTCTTCATGTTGTACATGTCATGTTACCAATTTCACATTTACTTATTGTATTTTCTATGTAATACAGTTGTAAATTCCATTAAAATAATAAAAAAAAAAAAAAACTTACAGGTGTAAATAACCAAGTACCCTGTTCAAATGAAAGGTTGTTTAAATCTTTATTACCTATTTAATATCCATAAATTGTATAACTCTTTGTTATTTTATATCAATCTCATCATTTCCAATAATCCAATCAGGATAATTATGGAAAAGCAATTGCAGAAAACATAGGTAATTTGAAAGTTCATAATTTCATTCTTAAGGGACCTTTTAGAATTTACACTAATAAATTAATCAAATTAAATACTTACGCTTTTTCTTGAGAATCAAGATGATGAACAAGCTCATCTCTCTTATTGACAATATTTACAAGCTCAGCCAAAAGAAGATTTTCCCTCAATTTTTGTTCTTCAGTTTTTTGCCAATCTAAAAATGAAATAAAAATATATTGGCATACATTCATTGATATTTAAGTTATGAAGAGTATGATCAAATCTTGGGGTTTATAATTATTATAAACTTGCAATAAATGGACATTCCAAGATACCACATTATAAATGGGTCAAATAAAAGTACAGTATAAAAAAAAAACTATAGTTGATAAAAAAAAACAAAAAAAAAAAACTGATAGTTTCTCTAAGAAGAAATATTACAAATATCTTTGATTAAAAAATTAAGGTAATTTAATACCTTCCATTGACAGTATACTACGAAGTTCTCTATTAAGGAGTTCAAACCTCCTTTCCAGATCATCTTCTTTTTCTCTGAAATATAAAAAAATTCTATTATGATATAAAATATAAAGATAAGAACTTATCACTGTTAATGGTAAACTGATAAAGTTAAGACAAAACTTACAAAATATTTAACTGCATTTGCCTCCTGAGTAAAGCATTTTTTTTATTGACTAGTGTAAACCACTTTGACATTAATACCTCTTCGTCATCTTTATCAGTTCCTGAAAAATAATTTAATAAATTAAAACTAAATGACCTATGAACTACTAAGCATATTAAAAATGTACAGCTAAGCATATCTCATCTAAAAAGTAAACATTTGAAGATATAACTTTATTTAGTGCTCATTGATATATCATTAAGATAAGGTAGGAAACACAAGTAAAATAATATTAAGTTTTATTTATAATTTCATTTTTAAGCCTCAGCAATGGGCAACATTTAAAAGATAGTACTGTTCAAATTTTGCTAAATCGACTTCGAGTGGATAAAATAAAACTTTTGATTTACTCAATGGAAAAATCAAAAGTAATACATAGAGACATAAAAAAAAAGAAAAGAAATGAATTAGCTGGCGAAAGGTTTCTGATGGATTTGCTAACTTGTAAGATTAAACCACGAACTGAGAAATAATAAAACATTAATTGTTCGAGATAATGGGTTAAGAAGAAAGGTGCTATTTTCAAATCATTACTCCGAAATCATAACAGGTTTTAAGATTCAGTTGAGCGCGTTGTAGATGGAATCCCAAATTCACTCAAATGTATCTGAAAGTGAGCGAAGGGTCAGTAGATTCTATAACTTTTACAAGGAGAAGTTTTCCCAAACTTAAACAGAATGTTCAAGTTAGATCAGCACAAGTCTCCACCAAATTTATTATACATAAATACCAGCATAAACCGAATAATCATAATGTTTGTTAAGTATTTGTCGAAAATTTTATTTTTTCAAAGAAAATAAATGTCAAAATGAACATAATTTTTGTTTTCAATAAATGATAATCATTATTAGGCACAATAAGTACAAATATAAATCATTACAATGCTGGGAATCAAATTAGAGCATAGCAAGTCATCAAAATTAATTTCATATTTTAAAAACATTTCTCTGTATCCTACATGGTATAGTCAATATATTATTATTCATACAATATTTAGGGCAGGTTGCACAATTCATGGTTTTAACCAAGATTCAGCTATCTGAGCTTAATCTACCAGTAACAGCTCAGCTCTGTTATCATCAATTTCGGTATGCAGAGACATTAACAGAGATGCAGAAAGGGAGTAGGAGGTTACTAATAGGTTTTTTCTACAGTTCTTTGTTATGTGAGCTTCTCAACGTCAAGTGTTTGTTTTCGTTTAGCGAAAGTTCAAGTTAAATTAATTTATGTTAATTATTGTTAGTTATAAAAAAATATTTATCTAAATCTATTAAAAAATTCGTTAACAGACCAATGGAGAGAATGATTAATCCAAGGACGATTTACTTTTTTCTCCATTAGTAAAAAAGAAATTAAATCGAGGAAATTCTTGTCGTCTGTGAGGTCGTCAAAATCTAGCATATCCATTTTTGCAAGAGAAAATATAAATAAAAATGATTAACACAAACGATACAGCCAAAAAACCATGGAAGGTTTCTATAGTTGCCAAGGGTAACCTTAGATAACTAAGTTTTTCCTTAGAAGTAAAGCTTAAGCGCCCACGGTTGACCGATCAAGATTAAACTCGATTGCAAAGATGAGGAGCTTCGTTTGAGAGATGGGTGAAACTTGGTCTAATCTTAGATAACGCTTAATCTAAGCTTTACTACGTTGGAGCAGTTGGCTCTTAATAATAATAATGTAAACCAGTTTTATAAAATTTGTTAAAATCAGCTACATATGACATAACTCAGGATTCTATATTGCTGATCTTGAAACAAAGCCACCATATTGGAGCAGTGATTGGTAACTAGTACCAAAATAAAAATATCTACAAAAGTGGCAAATCGATTTCAAATAACATCCCTACTCACACTAGCTGATGATAATCTCCCAGTTAATACAACATACCTTGCTACCAACTATAAAAATAAAGAGCAGGTATTCCCAAGATACACAATGTACACCTGCGGTTTGAATAATGGCATAGGAAAAAAAGAAAGATAAGAAGTGGTGTTATTACTTACCTAATTCCATTATGTCTCTTAGTTCTTTTTCTAACACAGCAGCTTGCTTGTCAATTTGTTTTTGTTCTCTTTCTAAAGCTTCCATTTCATTCTGAATGTAGTTGACAACATCTTTACTGAACTGAAAATAAATTGAAACTATAATGTTGTTGTTCTTTGTTAAAACACGTTTTATTATACAGGGTGCACCGTAAGTGGAGGGAACTTTTTAAAGGAGAGATAGCAGACCTCAAGAGATAAAAAAAGACCCATTTAAATAATGGGTTAATTTTCAGCATAAAAGTAGAAAATCCAAGTATTGTGTTTTTTTGAAGTGAGTCATGTTTTTTTTTAATCTAAAGAAATATTTAATTTAAGTAATCAATAATTGCTTCATTGTAAACAAGATGAAATTTACTTTAAATGAACATAGAGCTTATCATTGTTAAAACCATTTACAGAGGACGTCTGAGTGGTTAAACTAAGCTAAGTTGTTCTTAGAAAAATCAGAAATTATTTGCAATTTTTTTTTATCATCAACTAACTATACTATAGCTATCCCACTTTTACAAAACCTTTTTCATTTGATAAGCTTTGAGTTTGTATTAATTAAGTTCTGGTTTATTAGAGGAAAATTTGATATTCAGCTCAAGTTTCGTAAAAAAACAATGATAGTTTTTATTCTGTCAAGTAAAAGTATTCCCGGTTTTAGTAAAAATTACTACAGTTAATTGTTGAAAAGTTTTTATCTCTTGTTTTTCTGTGATTTGGGATGTATTTTAATAAACACAACTGCCTAAACACACATTTTATTTATAAAAAAAAAAATTAATTTGAAAACTGATTTTTCAAATATTTTTACCTTTTTTTTTTTTTTTTTTTTTTTTTTTTTGGGTCCTTCCCTTCCTCGCCATTAAGGCTATACGGGATTTTCCCGGTCCAGGGAGTGTGGGCGGGGATTTAAAAGACTCCCCCGGACCGGGACGCGAACTCGTGACTATTTTTATATCTTTGTTTCATATGTCAGGTTGCCAGGCAACGGCGGTGCAGTGCACACGCTTTAGCCCATTCGGCTACCCCGCCCTAAATATTTTTACCTGTAAATTGATTATAAACAGTGTTTTTCATCCAGATCTCTATTATAGGAATCAATCCATATTTATTAAGGCCAAACTAAATGTTCCTGATCCTAATATTAATGTTTTCATTAAAATAATTGAAGCAATCAGCAGTTTTTTTTTTTTAAGTAAATTTTAGGACGAGAAACTTTCATTTTGTCACTCATAAATACAGATCAATTCAATATATCACGGTGTACTATACAGTATAAGGTAACTACCTGCTTGTTTGGCTGGTCAGGAGAAATTCTTTCCATGATTGATGTAAAAGAAAGTAGAGGAGAAAGAGGGTTCTGTTTACCAGGACTGTCCAGCAGAGCAGCAGGTTTGCTGTTACCGTTACTTTCACCGTTCACCTATAACAAGTTTCATTATTTTATTACAAATTTCTCTTAACAGACAATTTTCAAATATTATTGTCAGAAAGTGCAGGCATATAGCCCCTATTCCCAACAAGAGATAAATTTTATTCCTCTGAAAGGACATTTAGAAAACATTAAAAATAATAAATAAAAAACACTATATTGTGTTTTTTATATATAATAAATACATATCTTGGTGCTATTTTTTTCTAATTTATAAAACTTAAAATTGCATCACCGTCATTGTGTCAATTAATTTATTCTTCTGTTTGTTGTATTACCGGTCTAATACAAGTTCTGATTCTATGAGAAGTAAAATGGAAACACGCTTTTGAATAGGATTATATAATTTTTCGACTAAGTGTTTACAATTGCTTTTCATCCCTGAGCAGTTCTTAAAAAAAATTACTCTTGTTTGTTAACTTTAAAAATAATTTTGTTCAGTCATCTTAAAACAAAAGAATAGCCTCACATAAATTTCAATGAAAAAATAATAAAATTTCTGTGTTGAAGTTAGCTGGAAAACTTAACATTGTCTCAATAAACTTAATTTATATACAAATTAATAAACTTGTTTTAATACAAGCATGTATGTATTAATCTATTAATAATATCTTTGCTCGGTGAACACTCATCCGCAATGGATAAATCCATCAGAAAATGATATTTTACAGTATGGGAGAGACTACATACTATAGATGGAATAAATCATTCGATAGGCAGATGTTCACAAGTGAACATCTAAATAGGAAACAAAATCAAATGGAAAAATGTTTACATTTAATTAATATTACTTTCTGTGGAGAATTTCTTTACAAGGAGCTAATTCATAGTGTTATGATTTTCTGGAAACTGGATATATACATAAGACTTTTTTTTACCAATTCTCACATTACACCATGGTTAAGAAACCAAAGTGAAAGTGAAAACAAAAAATAAACTTATTCCACAGTTTCCATCACGCAATCAAAGCAGAAATGTTGGTTTAATATCCAATATTAAAACTTTCATAGTTTAGTTTTATAAAATATTAAGAGAATAATAGTGTTATAATTCAATCCTTAAGGAATTTAAAAAATAAAAATAAAAATGAAACCTTTGTGGGAGAACTTGGGAGACTCTTTTGAGTGTCTTGTTTTAAATTTTGATTATCAGCTGATATTTCTTCTGTGGGTGTTTTCTCCAAACCTGTTGAAAAAAACAAAGTTTAAAATTTTGATAAGTAGATAAAATTGCTACAAACTAATCGTTTTGAATGTCATTTTGTTGCAATGTCATTCATGCACTATAAATAAATATATATATATATATATATATATATATATATATATATATATATATATATATATATATATATATATATATATATATATATATATATATATTAGACTGATATGTCAGTACTAATATTATTCCTGATCAAAAATAAATTTTATATATGGGCTAGTTGGCAATTATTATACATTAAAATACTTTAAATACAAATATGTATCACTATATGCCTATCTTACTAGGTGAAATAGAACTGACGATCCCCATCCTAGCCTCAGCAATCAGCCTTCTTGCTCGCTCCCTCAGCTGGGCCTGCCTCTCCTCTTCACACTAAGCATATCAAAAAACAAATAATTACCTAAATATTTTTTGATATAAAACTTTATTAATTGTAAATTTTGGAGGTTATGAAAAATTATGAACTAAAAATAAAATAAAAGAACTCAATGCCATGATGATCATATCACATGAAAAGCAGGGGTTGAAAAGAATGATTTTAAATTTTAGGAAAAAAATTATAGATATATAAGAAAGATCCTATAAATATAAGTTCCAAAAAAATCAGCAATTATATAAGACTTTCAATAATTTGAGGCATGTCAGTATTAATATTATTCCTGATCAAAATTAAAATATTTTATTAATCATCTCATATTAATATTAATAATTTGTATGAAAAATGAAATATTTTAGTTTTTTCATGCTAAATCTGTTTCTTGAATAAAAAAAAGGCTAGCTTAGCAAGCCCGAAGGTTCAATGCTGACACCACCAATTGCTGTTCACACATCTCCCTTCACCAGTCGCCGTCTAAATCCAGCATCGAATTGCTAATCATCCTCCCACCTTCACCTCTGTCTACCGCTCGGACGTTTACCAGTCGGCAAAGCACATATTAACCTATTAGGAATTCATTCATTCTAAGCCCAGAAATTTTACAAGCCCATTTTATACACCACAACGAAATCCCCTCAAATATATTAAATGGATACAGTTCACACAATTTGGCATTGTGTAACCATCTAAATTCTTTGATTGATTTATCCTTCTGTGGTCCAAATTTTCTACTAATATTTTATTTTCAAAAACCCTAAGACATTGCTCACCCCTTATTGTAAATGGCCATATTTCGCATCCATAAAAAACTGTAGGTAGGATAATGGTTTTGTAAATTTTAATTATTAAATTTTGTAACAAGCGCGAGTTCTAAGTAGTTTTGTCATAGAAAAATTTTGTACGCGCAACACACAACTTTCACTTACCGATCTACTTTGAAAATAAATTATTATCTGGCAATGGGCTATTATTAAATTTTTGAAGTGCATTTTAAACGGTGCTAAAGCTTAAAGCTTATAGGGTAGACTTATACCTTCTGACTAGTATTTCCGGAGATTCATTTTCAACCCGGATAAGCATTTTCATTTTTTTCCTTTATTCAATCATCAAATTCTTTCAAAAGTTATATTTAGCATTTTTTTCGTAACTCTTAATAATGAGAGGTAGTTAATCATTTAAAATAAACCATATTAAAGGTATTTTAGAGGAAGACGTATATGAACATTGGATATTTAAGCTCTGTAAAGTGACATCAATGGGAATAAGAGCTAAATGATATCAAAGACCACTTAATTATACAATGATACACTGAGTTGAATCAAAATCGTTAGAGCCGTTTTTGAGGAAATTGTAAAAATGTGATTCACCGTTGATATAAAGTGGCACCTCCGATTAGCCTATTTTAAGGAAAATGTCGCTGTCACGTCTAAGGAATATACCCATCTTAAATATACGTAATATCAGTTTCATACGACTTTTCGTTTTTTATCTAGACTGTTCACATACACACAGACCATTTTGCAGGACTAGGTTATTTGGACTCAGGGGACCTCAAAACTTTTATTTCCGTTGACAACTCAAATTTGAAAATTTTCACGATCGCAATATTTTTCTTACTATATATTACATAGATAGGTAAGTGAAAGTTAAAATAACAAGCACTTCCCGTCTTCAACCTAACCTTAATTTCATTTTTTTAATTATCGTAGACCCTAGATACCTAAACTTCTCTACATGTTCAAACATATTCACTTCTATATCGATATCACCGAAATTGTCAAGGTTTTTGTAACTGACCATATATTTTTTATTATTCGAGAAGAAGTTCGTTACTAGCTCTCAGTAACGCTTTTGCATTTAAATTATAGTTTCTGTGTCTTCGCTTAACAGGACCGAATCATCTGAATAACCAAGCACAAATATTGTTCCATCCAGAATCTAACCTTTTTCGGTATGCATTACCTCCTATTAGCAATAGCATGTTCAAATGCTAAATTAAACAGGACAGATGAAAGACCACCTTGTTTCAAATCAGAAAAAAACTCAAACTTTTCAGATGAATAATTATCGACTCTATAAGCACATCCTAACAAGATTCACTAATTTATTTGTAATCCCCTACTCAATTAAAATGTTATAGAGCTTCTGGTGGTCAATAGAATCATAAGCCTTTTTAAAAGGGATACACAGCTGGTGAACAACACCGTTGTATTCTAATTTTTTGTGATGAAAGATTGAATGCCCTACTTACATATCTTTAGTTCATCATACATCACAGTCATAAGTAATATAAATTCAATAAATAATTAAAAATGCACTCAAACAATCACTAATAAGCGTTTTTCACATCATAAAACAAAAATTTTTATATATCTATTATATGGAAATAATAGTTGGATTATGTTAAAAAATTCATATATTTTGAAAAAAATTTTAATAAAAAAAATTTAACTAGTTAACCCATGACTTAAGAAAACCAACATTTAATGTAGTTTAAAACTCAATTTAATATTAATTTTTATTCTGAAATGACAGGATGAGAAAAAAAAAAATGGAAAGATAAGTTTTGAAGCTCAGAACATAATCCTAAGCTAAGAAGTATAAGATAATCAACTGTATGAGTTAGGCACTGACAGATGATTTAGCTCCATGAAATTTAACTACATAGTGACTTATTCCAATAAACCAATGATACATTTGTAATGAAATTACCAAGGATAATGTTTTATCATCAGGTAACTTATTAAATCAGCACTTTAATTTAAAAAGATAAATTGATTTTTCAATGTTCGGTTTAGAGTATTTATTTGAAACATTTTTTTCCATTCGTTAATGTTATTTGGATTTAGTTATATTTGAATTCCTATTAAAATATATTTGTTATTTCAAGCCTACACAAATTATTAGCTATATTTTGTTTAAATTTTAAACAATTTTACATTTATTAATTTTATTTTGGTTGATGAAAAAAAAGGAAATGATACGTAGAAAAATGATTGTTATCAAAACTCATCTCCAAAATGATAACATAACATATAATTGCTATACTGCCAACAGCTTCACTGGTTAGAAAGGAGCAGTATAGATATGATGTCATACCTGGACTGCCGAACAGCGGCAACGAAATATGCTTCTTTCTGTTAAACTAAAGCAGTGCTGAACTGCTGGCAGTAGGCGCAATGTGGAGTGCCTTAAGAAATAGCTGAGGTATTCAAATTTTTTAGAACGTGTGTAATCAATAGGTTTTTTGAGAGGCTATACCTGTGTAGGCGATTGTGGCTGCGACTTAGAAGCCTCTCGCCTGGCTTGTTCTAAGAGCTGCCTTGCCCTTTCCTTCAATTCATCATGACGATTCAGCAATCTCTGCACACCATGCAATTAGCAAAAGACAAGCAAATAAAAAGCATACATTACTGAAAATCACACAAAACTGCCAACACAAGATGAAATTACATTTTACTTTAAACATAAAAACTATAAGTTTTGTATTCAGATCAGATACTATATTAAACTAAATTCTAAAAAAAAAAAAAAAAACTCATTCACATGCCAGACCAAAAATAAATCTTTGTCATTAAAATATCCCCAAGTCATAAGGGAATAAAATTTTAAATAAAGTAATCAAAGCCAAATTTCATTAAACCATTTAAAATTAAGTATACTAAAGCTTAAATGTTATTAAATTAAAAGCTTAATTTCTGAGAAAAGTTGTGATTAATAAGTTGATTATATTTTTTTAAGATTCAAAAATATGGTTTATTAAATTAGTATTCATGAATCTGCTATGTGATTAAGAAAACCAGTAAGATCCAGATTTTAAACCGAGATTCATACCTCCAAAAGTCAGATTATATCTGACAATAGTAACTTTGAGATATAAATAAAATAAAATAAAATTAACGGTCACAATCAACACTGATACATAAGAATATAATAAATCTAAAATAATGAAGTAAATATGAAATATAATACAAATTTCTAAATCAAAAACCCATCACCAAGCTGCTATTTTTAGAAAAAAAATCTTATCCAGTATCGAATAAATTATCTTAAAATACTCCCAAAACTTTATTACATATAAAACAAAACAAAAAACAACTAAATAAATATTTTTTAATTAAAGAGCATATACCTGCTGATGCCGTGATATGTGTTCATGATTGAGAGGAAGATTAGATGGAGGTTGGTTGCCATATTTTGTTTCAGATCTGTCATGGCTATTACTTTTCACAGCATTAAGAGAATTTAAAGAGTTCTCCTGTAAAAACAAAAAATAAAATAAAATTTGGATGCATATTTTGTTGATTGTTACTTTGAAATTATGAGGTTGATAAATAGATTTGTTTTATTACCTTGCCAATCTTTCAACCCAAGGGGGCTATCATTAGGGCTATATAATTAGAAATTACATCTGAGATATAAAGGTAGATGAAAGTACATTTTTCATCTTATCTAATATTTCTGATACAATTCATAATTTTTAGTCTGGATGAAGACCCACAACATATGCTTGGTTGGCAAGCTGTATAAAACAAATCTAGACTGCAAATTCCGATTATTTAACATCCTCATAGATAAAATATAGATATACGAGTACATTATGAACAATTATAAAGAATCTAAATGAACCCTTGTACCAAAATAATTAAAATAGAACTATTAATATATTTTTCAATCAATATAAAAATATTATAAAATCAGTAAGAGGTCTAGAGCCTAGTCAACAGCAGTTAATTCAGATGTTGATTTGCTTATACAATAATTTTGTTTGGTTAACTTATTATACTATCATAAAAACTATTATAGTTTAAAATACTTACACTATCCTGTGATGATTGAGACCACGTCCCAGAGGTTTTCTTGTTCGAATCAGTTGTTTGACTATAATTTGAAAAAAATATTTATATAACAATGCTTGATAAATATATAAACAAATAAATTTCTGAAATATTGTTACATTTATAAACATCTGTGAGTATCATAAATAAATTACATAATAAATGGATTTGCATATTTTGTGTTGTGACAGTAGTGGACCAAAGGAGACATTAACAAAATTTTCAATAATTAAAAAAAGATATTTTCGAGGAATTAAAAAAATATAAACTACTGCAAATGTTAAAGATAAACATTTTTACTAACATTTGTCATAGAATAAAATTTTTAAAATAATTTTAACCTAAATCTTGTTCCGAATGGTATTTGGAAACCAGACGATTAATATCAAATAGTAAACAAACCTTTCATCTTCATCATCTGAACCAAAAGGATCTGAAAACTGACGCCTCGTCATCAAAACCGGACGTTGAATATTTGCCCCGTTCACTGGAGATTTACTCTAAACAAATATAAAACCATGAAAAATCATTTCATAATGGAATGCATTAGAAACTGACTAGTTCATGCCTTACTTTATCTCTTTCTCTGAACTTTTCTTTGGTTGGGGACAAAACTTTTCCAAGTATTGACTTAGAGCTATTAAAAATTTTATCAGTTACACTGGCTGGAGTTTTATTAGTAGGTTCCTGTGGGTCTTTGCTACTCCAGCTGTTTCTGGTCTTATCTTTATCTGTTTCTGAACCTCTAAAAATAAAACTTCATTTCAATAACAACACCTTGAAAAGTAATTATAATCCTTCAGTTAAAAATAGAATTACTAAATAAATAATTGAATACAATTTATAAATTGAAACATCTGATTTATTTAAAGTAAAAATGTCAAGATTGATTCTATTGAAATAAATTGTTTAAAAACTAATAATCACTATTTAATAAAATTATTACGTTCACATATCTATGTATAAAATATATAGTAAGAAAAACTATTGGAATCATGAAAAGTTTTTAATCCAAGTTTTTAACGGAAATATACGTTTTAAGGTTCTCGGATTTTGAATAACTCAGTCTCGCAAAATGGTCAGTTTGCCTATGAGTCTATGGGTGAATAGTTTAGCTCAAGAACGAAAATTTGTACAGAACTGAAATTATTTATTAATTATAGGGATGTGAATGAGTTGTTATAGCAACATTTAAATTGCTTAAATTTAAACTAAAATCGACTTACAGGAAGTGGCACTTTATGTAATTTATTTTAAACATTTTGACTACAGAAGATTTAATAGTGGCATTGATGTTTTAATAATGATATCAAGTGATTTTTGGTTCACCATGAAATATTAACGATTAAAAAATTAAATTTAGTACAAACTGGAAGCTACACCATGGCTATGATATTAAAAAAGAGAAATATTTAATATGCTACATCTGTATTATTACCCTTTGATTGTTTTAGCCCTCATATTGATTATCTCTTGGCCAAATAACTGCACAGTCACATCGGTATCTGTATCAGTATTGAACCGTCCAATCATGTAAGAAGATTCGTCAGTCGTTTTTCCGATTTGCTGTACCTCCAACTCATGCCCTGGGGAAAAAAATTACATTGATATATATAATAGAGAAAAATGTATGTAAAGATATTTTCATTTAAAAAAAAAAAAAATAATTCAATCCATAGGCGCCGACTTTCCGTTCTGGTTGCGGGTACGAGGGACTCCCAAAAAATGTCTCAGGAGTTTGTATATTATGTATAAACATTATGAGTGATAATTATTGTAAAAGGAGCAATATAATAATATATATAAAAATAAATTTACATACATATATATACACATATAATATATAATTAGTTTTTTTTCATGTATATTAAATAACGACGAAATTTATTTTTCTCAATATTCCGATGAATCTCAAAGTAATATCTTGTGAGGATGAATACAAAGATTCTGCTCCCGACACAATACTGTTTTTAGAAAAGTTAGCTTTAAAACTGCCAACATTGCCTTTCAGTTAACCAAAGAAGGAAATTACGTTTAGCTGACAGTTTGTGAGAATTATCATAACATTGGCATATTCAACGTGATGAAACACAATTTTTTAAAAAGTTAATGCTTGATCAGACTCTACATTTTAAGATCGAAAAATGTTCTAATAGATGTTTATCTATACACAGAATAACTGTTAAGAAGTTCATCAAACTTTACTAAAAAAAAATAAATATATCCACAGATGTGTGTATTACAAATAGTAAATAGTATTGGTGTTTTTTTTTTTTTTTTCAAAAATGTAGTTTTTTAAGTCAATTTTGCTTAAATTTTATTCATAACCCTTGTTTGATTTCAATATTTATTTAAATATATACAGTCGCCATTATTGACAGTCAAAGGTGGATGAATATAACGACCGTGGTCATCAGTGACAATGAAGTTTACCTCTTCAAGATCATTTAAACGATATCCACAGTATATTTATTTCCATTTTGAAAAAAATATTTACATAATAAAAAAATTCTCTGATTTTAACAATTTTTTCCTGTTTTAAAAATTCCCTAACTTTTCCAGGTTGGTCGCCACCCTGACATATTTCATTCATTCATATAGATTAATTGTTATTGATTTTGATTTTGTTCTTTGAATTATTGGAGGACAAAATAATATTCTCACCCCCTCTCTATTTTTATTGGGAGGGGGGAGAGGGGAGAGATGATCGCCGCCGCGTATGCCTTGGCAGTTTCTAAGCGAAAAGTTGAACAAAGAGATGATTTGGCTGTGAACATTATCGAACACCAGGTCCCCACATCCAATATAATGGTACTTATTACCACTTTACTTTTTAAATAAATCATGAAATAATAATCTTAAAATTAAAATTAATAATATTCACAAATTATACCAGTGAAATGAGCACGGAGTTGGTAAAGGTAAGTCATGACAGCTAACTTATCAGGAACCGCAAGGACATCCATGTCAGCTGGATCAATCACTCGTGATATCCCTAACTGTTCTCCAGCATCAAAAGCCTTTTTGCAATTACCTCTCACATCTTGACTAGGTAAGGTATCAAAATCTCTGAAATAAAATAGTAAAACATACTTAAAACTGATATTTTATATAAAGTAACTCAATAATAGGGAAACATTAAAAGAAACCATACATTAGATCAGGTCTAAAATGATGAATAATGGCACAGAAAGCAAGACCATTACGCCAACTGGTAGTGAGGTTGGTGACCTTCACACCCGGATAGCCTTTCGTCATTTCCTTGCACCATTCTAGCAGGTCCTGACCAGGCGTACTCTCTTGTCCTCTTGAAAGATTTAACTTGTTACTCTGATAAAATAAAACAAAATTAAGCAATGTATAAAACAGATTTGTAACAAACTTAATAACATTAGATACTAACTTCTTTTAAATTCAAAGGTTGTAAATTCAACTTGATATTTTTGTCTTGTGCTTCAAATGAATTCCTAGAAGAAAAAAAAAATTACTAAGAATTAACAATTATATTTCAGTTTAGAAATATTTTAAAAAACATAAATATATACAAATCTGAATACACTAGGTGCACTCGACGAAACAATTGCCAAGTACATGAATTTAGAGTTATCAGGATGCTCAAAGTCAGCAACCTCTTTAAATAAATTGGATTTTAAAGACAGACAAGCCACTCTTCTTAAATAAAACATATTAAGAGTCCCTGGACAATAATCAGGTTTCTATTATTATCATGGAGTAACTTATTTATAATTAGGTACAACTTTTTTAAAATGGCAGCAACAACCATTTGAGAAACCTATCTGCCATTGACAGCATTTGGAGCTCAGAATAAGTAGTTGCAAATGTATTACAGTGGTACTATATTTATTTTAAGGTTTAATTGAAGTTTGATAGTACTTAAAATAGAGTTGCTTCACCATATTGCCTCTCTGCTTTAGGCTTCATGTCTACTATAACTAACATTATCATTTTAGACATTTTCAAATAAAAATTTAGAATATACATCTAAATAATGTAGCGTGAATGTTAACAAAAATTAAACATAAGTACTCGGGATGTCTACCAAAACCTTTTTGAAAAATTATCTAACTTTTCAGGCTTTCTTGGTAATTTTTAAAAACATTCTAGGTCATTAAAATGGTTATAATAGGGCATAACACACCTTATTGAAGACTTATTGAAAATAAAAATGTTAATAATACCTAACTTTGTAAGATATAAAAAAAAAAAATAATACAACCTTTCTTCGGCCTAGAATAAAAATATTCAGTTTTCTTGTTCATTATTAATAATTCATTTAATATCAAATTAATTAAGGGGTTGCTGAGGGGTAGTGCCTTTGCACATGGTTGACTTGTGCATTGCTCCTCACCCAGAGTGAACGTAGAGATCTGTGAGACAAACCCAAAACCATCCGTGCGCAGTGAAGAACCTTATCTTGCTTGAGTTGGCACTACTCTTGAATAAACAGAGCGGATCTAGGCCAGAAGGTTAATAGATATTCCTGGTGGAGGACAGTAGAAGTCATCGGTACTGACTTAGGAGCCAAAAGCGGTATTAGCTGACTGGGTTCCTATTCAGACATCAGGCAAAGCCAAAGGACTGCAAGAGAACCAACCCTTAAAAATGCTGCTGAAGTTGATAGTAATTAGCCGAAAGGTTCAAAATAGTCTCCAAAGATCTTTCATGATGATTTAGAAAACAAGTTACCAAGCAATACTTCCCAAATATGAAACTTGGAATGGAACTCAGTGACAGCCTGAGGAAATCCCTGATAGAGAGAACGGAGAAGAATCTTGAAAAAATTATTAACACACTGTAAAACATTGGAAAGACCATATACATAAATATAGCTTGCAAAATTTAATGATTTTTAGTTTTTTATAAAATGCCTTAACTATTCTAGATTAAAAATTTTCTGACATTCCAGTTATTCTAGCTAGATTCTCTTAATAGACGGCAATATTAAGGTAGCTGAGATTATAGCCATTAATGTGCCAAACGACGGAAACATTAACTCAAGTCTGTGCAGAAAAAATTTGGAAGTATCAAGGTCTAGCAGCTGAGTTAAAAAGTTTGTATAAACTTAATAAAGTAACCGTTAGGGGCACTTGATCTCCAGCAATGGTCTGATATTGATGTCTGCTGTGGAAGCTACAGACAGGCTGGGCCTCCCAACCTATGTAATAAATGAAGCCCAGAACGCTGTGCTGTTGAATACTGCCAGAATTGTAAGAAGCTTTCTCAACATCCAATAGAAATAAAAATAGAACATACTTGAGGTGGTTGGAGTTGATTCTCCCCCTCTCAAGTAAACAAAACACCTTTTGTAAAAGTGTTGACAAATAAAAAAAAATAAAATAAAATAACACTTACATATACTTATCTGTTATCACCGGAGTCTGACTAGATTCATTATTAGAGTAATCATTAGGTAACTCAGGGAATGATTTCTCATCCTCAGCTAGTGGAGTTAAGTCATCCCGTAAACTTTCAACTAAGAGGATAAAATTTTAAATTGAATAAAACTTAATACTCATTTTATCCTTTATAATAAATCAACTTTTTCAACAAAGTCTCACAGACTCTGGTTAAAATACCAACTAGATTTACTTACCACTTACAGGAGTACTTGCAAATTCAGAGCCACTCAAACTGTTAGTCATCATCTCTAGTTGATGAGTTATATCATGGACTTCACTTAAACTCTGCTGCTGAGAAACTTCTAAACACAAATTGTTACAAAGAATTATAGAAATTGAACAAGAAATTTTAACCACCAATATTAACACAAAAACAAATTCAACCTACTAGAAAATTTTTATTATCATTCTTTAATCAAGAAATTATAACATGTAGAAGATAATTTATTTATTCAACAATAAACAAAAACAAACCCATTCAAACAAAAAAATCCTATACCACCGAAAGCCATGAAGGGTCGTCCTGAACTGTATATTAAAAATATATTAAAGGACCAAGTGACTGAGGACAATTCCAATCAACCCATGGGTAATAGAGAGGTCTGCAGGACATTGGTAAAGATCTTAAAAACACCACTGCTGGGAACATTGAACAAGCCAAAATGGTCCCTCTTTAGACAAAATACTATGGATATTAATTTGGAGGCCATCATGAAATACATCCTAAGTAATTGGAAACAGCCACATCTTGGAGCCAGAGAATATGGAAATTAGTTGGGTTCATGGACAAACATCTTGAAAAGAAGTTGGGATCAAGCACTTAGTTTGAACTTCAGCAAGAGACACAACTCTTAAAAAGACTGCCGAAGTTGGAGGAGCAATCAAAAAGTACAAATATTACCTATGTATACTATGTACACTTCTAACTAAATGATGAATGGATAGTCATAAAAGTAAAAAAACTCTTAAGTTTACTTAAAAGTCAGATGGCCGAATGATCAACGACTTTGGCAGAAGAAGAAAAAAAAACTTTAAAAGTGTTTAAATAATTACCATTAGCATCCTCTTCTTCATCAAAATCCCCTAGAACTGCAATATCACTGTTGTTATTAGTACTCATAAGACTAGCCAAACTCTGCATATCTTCATCACTAAAAATAAGAAAAAATATTTTTTTAAATAAATTATTATTTTTATTAAATGTTTGCACCATTCAAGAATTAACATATTCAATGCTAAACTATGTTTTTCTCAAAACTAAAACTAAATTATAATAATAAACAAATAATATTTTCACAAATTATTGAATCTTAGTAATTTTTAATACTGCTCCATCACAATTATTTTCATTGATTCATTGATTAATATGAATTCCTAGGACAAATAAATAGCGTAACTAATGTATTAAGAGATATAGTCTTTGTGTTGATAATGTGTCGTTTTACAACCTGTATGATGATTCATGATTTTTTGGGCAAAAGCAATATAAATACCATTGAAGAGGTTTCAAATACACCAATGGCTTATTTTTGACTTATTACAAATTGAACCTATGCCTAAATCTTATTTGCAAAACATACTCCAACAGCATTTCAGAAGATTTTTGTCACTGAGATAATTTTTTTATCATTTTTGTTTGGAACACTGATGAAAAGTGATTTAATTAAATTTATTATTATTATTAGAAATACATATCAGTTATATATATTAGAAATGCAGTCTTAATCCATCATAGATATGATTTTAAGCTTAAAAATATTTTTTCACTGGCAACAATGTTTTCAATTTTGTAGTTTTTTTCTCTCTCTGCTTTATTGCATTACTAATACTATATATAAATCAATTTAAAAAATCACTTTGTAAGTCAACAAATTTTTTCTGGTAACTTTCAAACATCTAGAAATCAATATTTTTTTTTTATTATCACTATTAATAGACTATGAAGATTTCTGGCTGTACCATTAGATCTTTCAATACATGTACATCTAGCTACCCATGGCTCCTTAAATAATCCCATTGAGTTCAATTTCAGAGTATCCTTCCTGACTTATTTGGGTCCAAGGATAGAGACAAAACGGTCAGTCTGGATCTGTGGATTATGAGCACTCGAGATCAGTAGGCACACTTTATTTCTGTATTTCTTTTCTTGAAACAAACCATCCCTGGACCATACCTCAGGTAATGATTTCAATGAGCTTAAATAAGATTTTCTAGGATTAATTCTGTTCTACTAGAAAATCTCATCATGATTCTAGATTATTATGGGTAAGATTATCACTCCGACATCTGGTCTCGGTTAATTGACTCCAGTAGGCTGATAGGCCTAACATACCAAGGGAAGAAGTGAGGGAGCAGATTATAAAAGCTTAATTGCAATTTTAGGGTCAAGAAGAGAAGATAATTTTTTGAAGTAAAAACTTTTTTAGGAGCGTTTTGCACTTTTTTTGTGGACAGTGAATTAGATTGAGCCATCAGATTTCCAATGTGCAATACTCGGGTAAAGTCGGCTGCAGTCAACTAATTGAAATGTTTTTGCATATGGATTAAAATATCTTGAAAACTAAAAATTGAACCTGAATATTGTTAGTGAGGAAAATGTTCATCATTTCATCCTCTTTGTAATGAGCTATTATTCAAAAGTGTAAATTACCGCAATGGCGTGTTAGAGAGGCAACAAGAGAAAAAGTAGTATTGAAAACCAAATAATAAAAGTCTTACTGAACATATGGATTAAAATATCTCAGAAACTAAAAATCGGATCTGCATACTGTACTGTAAGCAAGAGAAATGTTCAGCATTTTATCTTCTTTGTAATGGCCTATTATTCAAAACTGTATCTTAACGCGACACCAAAATAGAGAGGTGAAAATGAAAAAAATAGTGCCCTGAACCAAATAATAACGAGTTTTATTGAAGATACGGATTAAAATATCTCAGAAACTAAAAATCGGACCTGCATACTGTAAGGGAGGAACATTTTCAGCACTTTATCTTCTCTGTTATGGACTATTATTTATCATTTATATTTCATATTATTAATCTCGCTTGTTATTGTATGTTTTCACTTCTATCGTGTAGTATAAAATACACCTTAGTTTTTTAATATTAGATTATTATATAAAGTGACACCATTTTCTTTGCTTGTTACTGCTATCTCCGAAAATTACAAGACCGATTCACACACAGTTTTTTGAAACTTATTGGTATTGTTTGATTTGATGTTATAGGTGCAAAACATCTAGGTCATCAGCGGATACTCACAGCCATATTGGTATTGTCCCGAGAATGTTTTAAGCTATTGAACTCCTTGAAAGAAAGGACAAAACTAATATAAAAATATTTTTGTCACTATCAAGTTCATAATTCTGTAATATAAAATTTTTAAAATAAAATTTGATAGATACTTACGTCGCTTTCCCTTCCCTCAGAAAAACACAGGAAAGAGTACAGTCTAAAGTAGCAGATGCAATTTTTTTGCTCGTAGGTTTCAGAACCAAATTCAAATGATGCTGCGAGGAATCTACACTAGCGTATTTCTTCATATTGATATTGAGGGCAGCGATTTGTCTTCTCTTCCCCATACTGCTCACCTAAATAATACATAAAATAAGTATTAATTTCTGAAAGAATAAATAAGTTCCATAAAATAACCCAATCAGAATAAAAATCTAGATAACTGTTTCGGGTCCCTGAAATATGAAAAAATCATGACCAGTTGGCAGCCTTCCGTGCCCGGCTACAAGGGACAAACTCTGACGGAGAAACTGAGAGAAGAGAAGATGGGGAGAGTCTGAACCCAGGCCAACCAAATATATTATGTTCTTCTCCAGTGTATTTTTCAGAAAGCATGGAGGAGTAAAAAAGAGAACATTCAAAAGGCAGAAGGGGCTGCTAGGATGAGGAGGGGACAATGAAAGTGGCCACAATTTCAGCTAATTTCTTTTAGTACCAAACATCTAAATTCTAACCTGAGTAAGTTCGAACATTTACTTTTTCTTCTTCTATTAACCACCTATGACCTCAAATTTCATCAGGATATTTTTCTACAACATTCAAAATTTACAAATGTCAGGCCCATCACAAAATTACAACTCGCTAACTAACAATAAATGTATTACTTTTGGCTTTCCCCTGTTCCCGCACATACTTTGAAAAAATATAGTTAAACTTCTGTTTTGACATTTATGTTCATTGTGTTTATTTCCTACAGTCCACTATTTTCATAAAGGGTTTAAGTGCCTACCCATTACGTTGGTGGCGTTCATTCTTAAACACAACATTTATATACACATGTAGCCTTGTAACCCAAATGTAATAGAATAAAAATTACTCTCAGTGTGAGATGCTCTTAAAAGAGATCATGCTGAATAGCAACTTAAGGTTACTGAAATTCCCGATTGATTCCCAACTTTTCAGTAGTTTTTGCAAAAACTTACAAGATTTTTACAAACATGCATTAAACTAAAATAGAATTTTAATTGCACCAATATAATGAAGTTTTTAAATTAGTATGGAAGAAAAACCGTGAATGGTGGTATATGAAACATCTTATTGGGGACCATTCTAAAATGAAATGGCAATGTGAGTCCATAGTATTATCTTCTAATGAATGACCTATGACTTTATAGCAAAATCTAAAAAGAAATTAAAATCAATGACCAAGTTGTTTATAAGTTCTCAACTAACATTCAAAAACTCAGCTAACTTACATCCTCAATTAGAAACATCCACTCTTTATCTTCTAAGTCATGGCTTCTAAGATCTTTGAATAGCGTGACTGCAACTTCTCTGTTTTCAGGTACAGACCAAGTTGCTACTCCTAACAAAGGATCCTTCATTGTTGGTTCCCATGGCTGAGCTTCAGAAACTACTCTTCGCCCCCTTCGGGTCCAGACAACACATAATTTTGTTGGTTTCCTAGAAAGTGTTTTATTGAGGAGTAAATATTTTATAATAAAACAAAAAACAAAGTTTAAGTTGAAAGAAAGAAATTCTGAAGTTTAAAACAGTATAACAACAACTGAGGAATAAGTATAATAAAAGGTATTATACCTAATGTAAATATACTAATAGCAGACACTTTAAAAAAAAATTCAAGATTAATGTAAACTAAATTATTGAAGCATATCACCATAGGTGCAGGCATCACCCTCCTTAGTGTTTCAACTACAAATCTAGTCACATTTGCACTCTCTAAATGGTATATATAAAGCTTATTATTTGTTAATGAGTTGAAAACTGTCTTTTACTATAACAGTTTCTACTACTGGTACATTTACTATATAATCACTCTCCATTAAAAATACCTAAATATATTTCAAATTCTTTTTTAGATTTATAATTAAAGAAAAAAGAAAAAAATCAAATGATTAAGCAATGAAATATATTTCATTTACAGATAAATACAAATCATATTAATTCCACATATCTTGATAGCGATAACCAAAAAACAAGAAAAGTTTTAAATTACCAAATAATAAAAATTTCACTAAAACTTTAATATAAATCTTTTCACACAGTGTATTATCAAATACATATTAGTTGTCATATTAAATATTGATTGTAAACATTCAATCATTCATCATTTGACATGTTAGTAGGAATCAAACTCCCCTTCCCTTCAAACTAATAGATATTTTAAAAAATCAATAAACTAATGAATGAGTAAAATAAAAATAGACTTCAATGATTACACCATTAAAATTAAATACAAAATATCAATAAACAGGAAATTTATAGTGCCATAAAATCTAAAAAAATATTTCAAAAACCTTCACTAACAAATAAAAACATGAAATTGCTTAATAAGAAATTAATTTTTTCGCATCAGAAAACATAGACATTAAAAAACAGTAACATTGGGTATTTATTAATTTACTTTACAAGGATCTTACTATAATTATAATGATATCATATATAAAAATAAAGACAATTTCCGAGAAGTCAAAATAATTTGCTAAAAAATACTTTATCTAACAATAAAGTAAAATTAAGAAGATATTGGTTCAAACTTTTGCATAAATTATTATGATGCAATGAGCGTAATGGTCCAACATTGAATTTGTTATTTCAATTGATTTATTAATGTTGTAAATCAAAGAATAATAAAATTACTTTGTGGTCACAATACTATACTAATGCAGACTACAAAAAAGTTTAAAATTCATTAAATAGATATACCTTATCAAAATGAATGAATGAAAGTGAGGTTTAAAACATTTGCTTACCATTTTGATGTTGTTTCAACAGTAATTTGGTGGTAAGAAACAGTAAATTGAAATTTGGCAGCTCTTTTGTTAACTCGCTGTAATCTTTTCCAAACAGAACCCATTTCAAAAATGTGTAGAAACTGCAAATCAAATACAAGTTCTTATCAGTGATAAAAATTCTATTTACACTAACAATTTCAATAGTGATCGGTGTAATTTTATATTTTAAGTGATCAGTGCAGTTTAAACAAAATCTAATGCTGGTTTTAGTATATTTTTGATAAGGAAATGAATTTTAAAAAAGAGAAATAACTTTTTACAAGATATGTAAATACAGCTAAAAAGTCAAACATTTGAATTACCTTTTCAAAACCCATACTATATTTTTAATTTACAGTTGTCATTCTGATAAAACATAGAAATAGTTCCAAAAATACTAAATAACTTACCCTTTGACATGAACTTAACCAACAAAATAAAAAAAAACACAAGAATTACTAATTCACTAAATTTTACAGAAGTTGCAAGTGGTTTTACGACTACGTACTTTTGAGTAAAGGTTTTTCTCTCTTAAGAGTAAAAACTAGAACACAATCACACACATTTCACAAAAAACTTCACCTCAAGCAGAGGTATCACAAAGAATTGTTCCTGACCCTTGAGTCTGGCAGAACCACTGATTTCTATTAGCGCCGCTACGAGCGCTGGTTTCGCGAGCAGCCCGTCCACTTTTAATCATTTGTTTATATTTATCCTCTGACGCTTTGGCTAATGACGTAAAACCTTCTTCTGATAATTTTCAAATGTTTTCTTTGGAATCCGCTTTGGTTTTTGTCTTTGGAGATTGGTTTGGTTGACTAATCGATCCATGGAGGGCAGGTGTTCTAAAGGTTGTCATAGACAGGTGCAAGATTTTTTCTTGCCCTTGTAAGAAAGAAGATAAATTTCAACTACCCACCTGGAGCTGTCCCTGCACACTGATTTAGCGAAAAATATCCTCATGCATTCAATATGAAGAATTATTTTTCGTTCCTGATAAACAGTTTATATTCAAAGCTTCTTTAAGAAGAGGAAATTAATTTGAATTAAGTGAATTTAATGTCTAGTTTTTCAACATCCTAAATCCTAAATGAAATGTCATTTAAATACTATTGCTAAGTACTATAGAAAAAGAACTGAATATCCAGAATATTTAACCTCATTCGTTTCTCATTTCGATATTAACAAAATTACTTTAAATATAGCATGATTACTGCCACAAACTTATCCAATATGACTTCTATAGTTCATTAGCCCTGGGATAAAAACACGGCTTCAACAAACTCATTGTTTAAGTTATTTTAAATTACATCGTGGCTGGGTTGCAGTGTTAATGTCATTCTATTGATCTGCTTTGAAAGTTAGGAGCATAGATGGCACTAGATATATTCACAAATTATTCTATAACGGATTGTTTCCGGATTCAGTACCAATAATGATAAAGTCATACATGTGCACTTTTTATTGACACTAACGGCTTACGTTTCGTTCCATTAGCTAGTACTTAAATTGCAATAGTAATTGGTAAATCACATTTTATCTTATACACGTCATTGAAAAAAATATATATAATAAAGTTATTATCAAAATAATTTAAAAGACTAACGCATTAAATAAAAAAAAAATTTTTAATCATTCAAGCGATTTCAAATAAACCGATATGCTTTATGTGTGGTAAAATATATTTGCATTTAACAACAAAAGGCTAAATACACGCCCTGAAGGGGGTTGTATCCTACAATTTTTGGCATCAACATTTTTGAGGAGGTACATTTTGATGGAGTTATGAATTTTTGAGGGGAATTATATTTTCGTGAGGTTTCTATTGAAGAGAACTTTCAAACTTAGGAACAAAAGAAAAAAATAAATTACAATTTTTCTAAGTTTATTTTATTTTATTTGAACCGTTTTTAAGAAGAGGAGAACAATAAATTTTCTTCAGAGAATTTTCTTTAGCGCCGTCGTTCTTTGAGGGACGGGAGAGGGAATTCTACCCTTGCATATACAGGATGTGCTATAAGTAGAGGGGAAATTTTTATAGGAGCGATAGCAGACCTTATTACCAATAAAAAAAGTTCATGTAAACAATTACCTAATTTCCAGCATTAAAGTAGGAAATTTAAGATTTTTATTTTTTATGCGAGTCACGTTTTTTGTTAAGTTGGAAGCGATAACTTAGAAACTACTTGATTGAAGTAACTAAACATTGCTCCATAGTAAACTAGACAAAATGTATTTTGAACGAAAGTAGAGTTTGTCATTATTAAAACTATTTAAATAGGACTTTTCAACAGCTAAACTAACCTGAGTTCTGTTTTTTAAAAAATCATAAATTATTTCCGATTATTTCTTTTTAACATTGTCCTACTGTATTACAGATATTCCACTTTTAGAAAAACTTCCTCGTTAATAAGCTTTAAATCCACGTTAATTAAGTTGAGGTTTATTAGGAAAACATATTTGAAAAATAATTATTTTTAAAATTTTTAGTTTCATAAATAAAATGAGTATTTAGGCAATTATTTTTATTACAATACATCCCAGATCATGGAAAACAAGAAATAAAAGCTTTGCAACAGTTGATTGTTGATTAAGTTAACAGTAATTTTTTGATAAAACACGTGTACTTTATGTGACTGGTTAAAAAGTCATATAATTTCTTACACAACCAGAGGCGCATCTCAAATTTTTGCCAAATTAATCTCAATTTAATTAATATGGACTTAACGCTTATTAAACGAGGACTTTTTTTTCTAAACATGGGGTAAATGTATTACAGTTGAAGGGAGATAAAAAAACACAAATAATTGATGAACTTTTTTAAAAGGAATTTAGCTGTGTTAGTCGGCTTAATAGTCCTCTCTAAATAGTTTTAGAATGACAAACTCTACTTTCGTTTAAAGTAAATTTTGTCTAGTTTACCATGGATCAATGTTTCATGGGTGCTCAGAAGGGGGTTTTATGGCGCGAGTTGCGCCATCAAAATTTTTGAGAGGATTTTGAATTTTTGAGGGAATCGCATTTCGACGGGCTTATGAATTTTCGAAGTGAAAAGTATTAAACCAGAAAACAAAGGAAAAACATGGATCATATCACCGCAAGTGCAATTTATCTACGATTTTCCTAATTACACTTTTGCTTGCACTGTTTTTTTAAAAGAGAAATAAATAAAAATCTTGAGAAGGAGGGCAGTTCCTGCGCCATCGACTTTGGGGGCAGGGGATGGGCACCTCTGTAATGTTTAATTATTTAAATCAACTATTTTTTAAGTTATTGCTTCCTATTTAACAAAGACGTGACACATAAAAAAACACAAAACTTAAATTTTCTACTTCTCTGCTGGAAATTAGGCAACTGTTTACATGAATTTTTTTAAAAATCTTGATGTCTACTATCAACCATTAAAAATTTTCCCTTTACTGACGGGATACCATGTATACATTCAACGAATTGATTAAATTTGTATTAATTTTTTTGTTTACAATTAACAAAATTATTTTACAATGAGATAATTTAGGCTGGAGATAATATTTCATACAAAAATTCGTTAATAACATTTTTTACGGGAAAAACCCAATCATGCATTCAAAAAATTAAATAAATATATTAGAAAATAGTCGTTATTGTCACATTTTGCCTAAAAAATATAAATCAATTTTATTACAATTACCTTGAGTTGTAATCCAAACAAGTGTAACTAACTAATAAGAGATTGTGATATATTAATAGTCTACAATAAAATTGAAATTTTAAGATTTAAGTACTAATAAAGTAAACAAACGGACAATTAGAAAATGCACCTCTGCATTACATTAAACCTATAAATAAACACTTGTTCACGGTGGAAATTATCGGATTCTCAGTTGAGACCCATAAAACAAACTTTTTTTTTTTTGTTTTACTTTTTTAAAATTCTAAACAGAACAGGAAATAAAAATAATTATTATTGACAGAGATTTGAGCCTCGTAGACATAGTATATGTATTGTAGTTTAAAAAAAAAACTTCTTTTCTTAAAATCTACTGCATTTATTTAATTCCATATCAAATTAAAATATTTTCACTGACCACTATAGGCTAGGAGGTAATGACATGTTTCCTTATTCAAAAAATCGATTTTTTTACCAGTATCGGTCTGGGTCTTGCAAAGTGCAAGACCAAGACCGATTTTGGGCAACAGCATTTTGGACTACTAATAGTCCTACGATCCATAATAATTTATAGGTTAAATATTCAGATATACTTTCAATGTAGGCATGTATGAGCCTTTCGCAACAGAACTCCAATTTCAATAGTCTTTATTATTAATTTTAGTGTGTTTCTAGTAGCAAAATGTATACCTTTGTTCACAGTTCTATATTTCAACACTGCAATCACCTATTCTGTAATCAACTTACTCGCTGTCTGTATAGATAACTTTTTAAACTAAAAATATCACTAAAATGACATTACTAAAAAATGTTGAAACCGGAGTTAGTCATTCTGTCAATTGAAAAGCTCAAAGACTGTAGTTGTGTGGTTTATAAAAGCAGATGGAGTGACTAGATTTTTATTGTCTACTGTCGATATAATAAATAGACTTTTTGTAATTATAATGGTCTTAATGCACTTGATTAAAATGCACTTCAAAAATTTTATAATAGTTTAGAATTACAAGAAAATAATTCAAAGTAGAGCGGTAAGTGAAAGTTTTGTGTTGCACGCACCAGATTTTTTTTAGTTCTATTCAACCGACCAGTAAACGGCTGGGAGTTTTCTAAAATATTCGGTGGATGGCGACATAGAAAGGTGCGTTTCAAAAATTGACGCGAAAACAATTTTTGTTTGAGTTAATTTAACGGCATTTAAAATGTGGTTGAATCAATTTAAACTTATTGGAAACATTTAAAAATACAATTATTTAAAAAATTGTATTATCTAGTTAAATGCTGTATAAGAACTGATTTGCAGTATGTATATTTAACAGTGACGGATTTAAAGTTGTCAAATTATTGATTTCCCACCAACCGACCCGCAAACGGCTGGAATTTCGCATAAAATATTCAACAGAGTAAATTTATTAAAAATCGTAAGACAACCAAGGA